CGTCTGGCCAAATGTATCGCAATATATCGTGATGTATCGTATTGTCTCCCGTGCATTGTGATGTGTATCGTATCACCAGGTTTTCACCTATTGACCCTTTGCACCGACGTCACCTAATCACGTGGGTCCACCATGGTGGACGGCAAAAGCATGTAAACAGTGAGCGACACAAGTACCAAACAAAGGGAAAAGTAGATCCTGAAATTGTTTTTGTGATCAAAACAAAAACAAAACTCCTCCAGCATTCCTTCAACTAGTTCATGCCCAGTTCATTTATCAGAAGTAGTGCATCTAGCCGGGGCTCATAGAGAGCGGTATGCTAACTAGCTTACCAACGTTAGCTTACGTTCTCTCTGCAGCTGTTCACCGATGTAAACATGTTGCTGACTTTGCCTAAATTCACCCCTCTGGATTTATAACTTTATGTTGTAAACAGCGTTTCACTTTACACCAAAGCTGATTTTTAAAAAGTCCAGATCCCTACCAGCTTCTGTTGCTGGTGGTGTTACCGGGTTCAGCTGCTGCTCTCACACCGGAATGAGAAGATCTCTGAACGCCGACGCTCATATAAATAAATAATGTAATTTTAACACATGTAATCATCGGAGCTTTAATGTTGTTAATAACTATCTGGCTTTACACTACAGTGGACGGAGCGCAGCATCCGTGGTGAAATATCCATCCATCAGGATTATCAATAACTAGTATAAACACATCACATTTATCCCTGTCCCTGTCTTCCTCGTGAAATAAACGAAATTTAATCTTATCCGGTAAAAACATGTTCGCTGCAATTCTGAGGGCTGCTAGTCCGCTTGGTTGATCGCTGCAGTTCGTCTCCGTCCTCAGTCTCCATCAAAGTTTTTAAAAAGAAAAAACGAGTTGAGTTTACGTCCTTGTCTGTTAGTGCAGCCGACCACGCAGCAAGCTAAAACCGTTTTACTGTCAAATCAACTAAATAAAAGGATAAAAGGCTACAAACTGGCTTATTTTGACTACCTTCACTGGAGTTTCTACGGGTGCAAACGGTCTTTTTGCCGTCCATCATGGCGAAGGGGGCGGTCACATGAGTGGCGTGACGTCACGTGCAAAGGGTCAGTACACATCCCTAAGAGACAGTTAATTGTGATGACAGCTGCTGATCACCAGGAGTAGTCTGGTTAGTATGTTTTGTTACAAAAATAAAGTGAGATGGAAAAGTTGTTTTTCAGATCACTTTAACACCATGAATGCTTTAAACAAATAAACAATAAATAAAGTTGTTTAATTAGAAAAACAAAGCCAACTAACGTCTGTGCATAAGCTAATATAGAGGGATACAAATCAGGCAATGCTACCTTAAAAGCACTATTCAAGAGTGTAATATTACATTGATCTACATCCATTATATGGTCATCATTCCAAAATACATAAACCAATAGATTAACTATTGAACACATTAAAAAATGCTTTTCTTTGAAGTTTTGCTGACATGTTATTTTCCGCCTGTTCCCACACATCATCAAACACGTTAAGCGAAGAAGCTAGCAGCGTCTGTGAAGAAATCAGCTACTTGCAATAGTGTTTCACACCAATCAGCGGATCCTGAATCAAATCGAATTGAAACGATGTTGTGACTGAATTTAAGTTAAACGCAAATATCGAATCCCAATCCACTGTATTGATATCATATCGTGATCAAACGAAACCCATTAAAGTCCCGGCTAATATTTTCTCAAAACGAGACTTAACCAATGCAAAATGTACTTTTCTACCAGTGTTTTTGCAATTTTATGCACTCTAGTTCTAATACATTCTTTTGTATTTATCCATCAAAGCTAATAACAGTCAGATCAAATTTAAATTGACTGTTGGCCATTGCTTAAAGCTCATGACCCCTTTTGGTGATGAACAGTGTTAAAGCTTATCTCTTCTATTTTGTATTCATCAGCGGCTCATTAGTCATTTTGAAATGAGGCGCCTGTATTCGTTTCAGAGATGCTATCTTGGAGTACTTTTACCATGACAAGACTAACTGAGAATTGCGTCAAAAGGAGGATGCTGTTTGTGGACCAGCTGAAGGAAAATTGGTTAAAATAGAAACTGCAGAATGCACATGGGAAACTGAAGATTGTGTTTAAATTGGGATATTTTTCCTTCATGTTGCATAACAGTCTTTGGGAACAGCTCAGAAACTTTGGGGAGCCATTAATAATAACGTTACTCGTGTTTAACAGTGCTTACTCTGTTTAATAATGTGGTTCCAGGACATCGGGTGCAGGAAGTAAACTGATCTCAAATCCTAAACAGCTTTCCAATAATTAAACTTTTTATTATTCATGATAATGTGCTCAGTCTTAGATTTACTACCCTGCTGTAGAAGAAATTAGTTGAGATGTTTAGAGTGCTACGAGCTTGTCCAGCTTAGATATTTCTCCAAAAATGATAAATAATCTTTTTCAAATGATTCTGTCAGAGTAGCAGGTCTAAATGGGTTTTATTGCGGTGGACTGATGGGACAAAACTGCTACGTTTAATGAGAAAGTCATCCTAATATGGATAAAAATTTAAATATTTGACCGTAAAAAGCAGCTAAGGTACCTTAAGTGAACATTTTTTGCAGGATCTGAAAATACTAATTAAGATTTATTTTTTTGGGTGCAAAATCTTCACATAAAACAAAAACGTATTTCTTAAAATCAGTTCCTGCTATTAAAAACTCTCTGAATGACTTTTAACTTTGCAAAATGTGCAGCAAACCTCCCGTATTTTAAGTGTTGACAGCATTAAATCACTGATTAAATACTGACATTTGATGGGCAGCTTGGAAAATTCCACGCCTGTGCTCAACAAGGTGGTGAGTGAGTGATGGCGCTGATGAGGAGCAGCTGAGGCCGTGGGGGTTGGGGTGGTGTGTATTGAGGTGAGGGGGTGGGGTGCACAAGGAGAACTACGTCGCGTGACACGAGGTGGGATGATTCTTCCTGCTGGTGCACATATCGTGAGAAGGGTAGACGAGAAACTGCAGGAAGGAAAAGCTTCAAATCCAGGGGTCAAGTTTTCGTTTTGAAAAGACGGTCAGAGGTTGCGTCCTCTGGTCTCCCCTTCCTCCTCTCTTCTCCCCTTTCATGACTCCCCCACTCTCAGCATCCTCCTTAACATCCATATTGATGAAAGATGTTGATGAACTGCAACGACAAGGTTCGAGACAGATTCCAGGACTCACACGAGACAGTTCATCAAAGTCAAGTGCAGTCCCGCCATCGGGCCCGAGTCTCTCACGTCACGGCAACCTCCTGAAAATACCTTTTGTTTTTACACCCCCCACTCTTTGTGTGCTCCTTTTCAAAAGTAACACAGTTTCTCTGGCATGTAATAACTGCCCCTCATAAATCTGCACACTCTGGCCCTCAGACATCAGCCTGAGTGCTTTGAATCTTGGGGCCACATCATGCAAAGAGGTGGGGGGGGGGGCGCTCACAGGTGCCCCTCGGCTGAGACTTATAGCCGGTGCACCCCCACTCTGCAGTCACGCAAGCGCTGCCCCCCTTCTGGCCCTCTAACTGATTTTACAGCAGCCTGCGGGGGAAACCAGACGTTAGCAAGGCCCCGGGTCGACATTGTTTTCACGAACAAAGTTACAAGGGAATAAATCATTTTGAAAACGGAGAGGGAAGGAAGGGGTCGCTGTTGGTGCGCTGCCTCGGCCCCCCTGGAATAAGCCAAGCGTGCAAATATCAAATAAAGTCTGTTTAAAGTTGTTTTGTCATATTTTTGTTACCAGGAACTTTTAATATCACCACAATTCAAATAAATGTCAGTTATTCAGTGCAGTTGATAATAAATAACAGTCACATAAATGCAAGAAACAAGTGCGTGCTTGTTGCATTAAACTAATCATATTTCCTCTTGACACGCAAGCTTCCAGGAACAAGACCTCAGGTTTTATAGGTCATTTGAGATCCACAATTTGGCATTTACGCAGCAGGATTCAGTCTAGACAACAATTAATAAAATGCACACTGAGCCAAAATCTCTTTTTCTGACCGTGAATCATGCAAATCAAACCTTTTAGTGATTGAAGGCTCCGATCAGGAGGAAGTGTGTATTATTCTAATTTGTGTTCTGCTAATAACTAATACACCATCACACGGCAGACGGAGCAGATTTGGTGTAGATTTATTTGCATTGGGCTGAAGTTCACTACTTTCTCCCCCTCAAGATATGCGGAGTGTAATTGACTCATGATGTCTTCAGCCCCAACAACTTTTGCTTCTCTCTCTCTTTATGTACGTGCGTTTGTGCCACTGCGACTCTTTCATCAAGTCTGTTGATTCAAATGGGTTTGTTCCGTCGAGCCACTTCTGTGGTCGGAGTCTGAAAAGCGTTTTAAAGTGTTTGCTCATCTACACATGTCAAAACTCCATTCTGGTGGCCACATTTCTACTCTGGTGGAAGTTTTATGGGCTCGCGTGAAAACTGAACATACCAGTCTTGTTATAAAATCATCTAAATTGACATTCCCGAAGGCCTCAACATGAGGGCTTCCTTTAAGATATTTAAAAGATTGATTTGGAAGACCGTTAAAGCCTCATTCCAGATGTGTGTGAGAACTTTTACTGTTTTTAAGATGAAGAGTTAAAAAAACAAGCTATGTTGTTGATCTTTGGCTCAAGTGGACACACATTGTTTCTTGTTCAAATCTCTGCAGCTTTTGATAGTGATGTATTTATTTGTGATGGTGTTTTACTGCACAGCTTTAACGCCTATTTGCAGTTTGCGCGGCAGCCTCGTTTTACAGCTGACTTACAGACACGTACAGGTAGGCCACAAACGCCCGCTGTGCTCTGCATGAAAGGCCTCCTTTAGGGGCAGCATAAATCAGAGGGCTGTAATTACTCCAGAGATTTGCTGACGCGCTGTGGTCATTTAAATGATGAATGAGTCACAGATTAATAATTAAATAAACAGATCTTCTTCTCTGAGTGTCATTCCTTATCCTAAATTTAGCAAAAGAAAAAGACGCGCACCGTAAACTTTATTACATTAGTTTTCTGCAGACACAAACATTTCATTTTAATAGATTTCACACATTTTCACAAATATTGTCCCCCCCCCCCCCATGTACAAAAATCACATCATTCTTTGATAACATCAAATTGCACAAATAAAACTAATAAGATGACTATCTAAACTTAAAACTTATTGTTAAAATACACATGAATATGTATGAGGGAAATGTAAGATTGAATCTGTTAGGAGTTTTAGCTTGTTCAGTCTGAAGGCAGCCACGACAGAGAATGAGGATTTTAACTAAAGCCACGTTCCTTTATAACGCAATGAGATCAAAAACCAAATGTTTTGTACAAAAAGTGGTACAAGGCACTCTATCAATGTATGATAAGGAACTTCCAACATGTGGTTAATAGCTTAAATCAATTAGAAAATTTTCAGATTTGTTTAAGTCATCTGAAATTTTACACATCAACATTCAAATGATGCATTAGAAAATAATAAAAAAATATATAAAACATATAAAGAACTAAGTTAATTATAAATAGCATTTAAACTATTTTAGACATCAAAAATCTTCTAAAATATAAATAATTAACTTTTAGGATAGATTTAATTACTTAGCTGTTTTCTTTTGTGCCAGCAGTAGTTGTATTATGTTACAAACCTTATAAGTGATATGCAAAATGCACACATGACATTCTAATTTTGCATGTTTTTATTAAAGAGTACACTTCCAAATGGTTGCATTTAAGAGAGTTTTGTCCCCTCCGGCGTGTTGTTCCTGCAGGTAACCATGAGCTCATTTTTGTCAGCCGGTAGATGCTGCTCTGCAGGCTCAAGGTAATTATCTACAGGCACGCAACAGCTAACCGATGTGAGATCAGCCCCCAACTCTGCACACAGTTTTTTTTATAACATTCACCATCCCATGTGACAAACTCACCAGTCGTAAAAGGGTCATATTCATCCTACTGATCATTTACACTTTGCATTCCACCGCTGGGAGGTTTTCTATTGAGTCAAACAGAGATCCTTTTGATGCAAGGAGTCATCCTCACTAATGACTTCCAGGAGAGAGACAACTCCATCTCCTCATCTTCGGGGGGATAAACCAGATTTTAGGGCAGAGTCATGGTCAACTAGAAGGGAGTTTATTTGGATAGTCAGGCCCAATAAAGTAAAGTGCTGCCCTCTTGTGTTATGATTGCATTTTCTGTTGAAATTATGAGGATATGAAAGCTAAGAGAAAATGATCCCTCTGAGATGATATTTTTATATTTTTGATCAAGATTATGATCAGCATTAAGGCTTAATGTGTTCTTTTGAGTAAATTTCTTTCTTTCATGTTTTCACTAACAAAAACAAATCTAACTACATTAGTGCAAATTATCGGCAGATTACAGTGACCTGTTCATTTAGAAGATGCTGTGTAGATGTTCTCTGCGACTGTGGGTGTGCTGCTGCTGCCGGTCCGTGAGCCGCTGTTAGCTTCTGGAGTGATCTTAGTGGAGTGGTAGTAGTAGATAAACAGCAGAAATCCTTCAAAGACAAAAGCAGATGGTTGAAATGTTACTTTAATTTAGTAATATCTGAAGCTTGTGTGAATTTAAATTCGAAATTGACCTTGAAAGGAGTTGAGGATGGTAAAGATGTAGAAGGAGGGAATGAGCAGAGGTCCGTAACTGAAAAAAGCAAACGCCCAGGAGATGCCCAGGAGGAAGAAAAGACCCAGGATGGACAAAAACTTTGTTTTGGATGCACTGATCTCCTGATCTTGTACTGGTTTTGACTTAAAGTGAAGAATCTGCATCACGGTTATACTGAATATGGAGAAAGTGAAGAGGAACACAATGGCGTAGTAGCCAACGTTTAGACCTACGTGGACAGAGGAATCTGGGATCCAGCACCTGAAATTAGAAATGAAATTTGAGATAAACAGTTAAGCCTTTTTTTAAGATTTTAGCAGCTCCTCACATGTTTTCTGAAGTTCCATCATCAACCTGGATGACAATGTTTCCATATTTCTTTGCAGCAAGAAGAGCGATGATCACCACAGCTGGAGTGACTAAAGAGACAGAAAACATTCATTTTCTTACAGTCAGAGAAACACATTGAAGTGCTGGCTCTCTTACCCCATCCTGTGATGCAAATCTTGTAAATGTAGTGTTTAGTGTTTGCAGAGAGTTTCCGCAGACTGATGTACAGGTGTAAAGCCTGCATGGAAAACCAGGTGAAAGTGGCCAACATGCTGTAGTGCAGAAACGCGGCCATGGCCACACACCCAGAATCATTTTTCAGATCAGCGATCGTCTTGTTGATCAGAAAGCAAAAGTTCAGGGCGAAAAGGGCGATGAAGAGATTGATCAGGATCGTCGTCGCATTGGAGGATTTTGTTTTTCTGAGAAGGAACACAGTTTACATCAGCAAAAAGCAATCTCATTTAAAATAAAAACAGACCTACAGTTTTAATGTTTCTGCTTACCTGATGAGAAAATGCATGAAGAGGCCCGCTCCCAGGAAGAACATTGAGACCCCGCAGCCGGCCTCTGTGATCTTTGTCAGGGTTTTGTAAACGGTAGCACTTATATTTGTAGGTGTGGGCGACTGGTTTCAAATTGGAGGACATTTTTAATGATTATACATGATATTAGCATTAAAAAATCCTTAGAAATCTCATAACATCAGCTCACCATGAGAATGGCAAAAAACGTAAGATGTGTGCACTGACAAGTGATGCTGCCATTGACCTCCACTGTTTGGCAGCCGTCTGTGGTCCAGTTTGGACTCCCTGATGAGGAAACACGTTTAAAGTTGGGGTACATTGTTTAAAATGTTTCCAAGAACTTAAAGAAAGCGTAAATCTGGCCCTATTCTACAATATAAAGTAGTTAATTCATAATTTACATTTCCCCACAAGTCTCTTCTCTATAAAGATGGAAGGAGCTTCATCATCTTCAAGAGCTCAAAACCGATGAAGAGTTGGTGAAGTTTCTTTTGGAAAAGTAAATTCTTGTATTTTAGAGAATTGTAGTGGACATTTTAACTAATTGTTTAATGCTGCATTTACCCTAGGGTGGCACTATCTCGAACCCCAGCTTTATGATCACACCAAATAATGGAGGATTTATTTGTTTATAACATGTTTTTTAAAAGTTTAACTGGCTAAATAAATGTTTATTACCTTTACCATTCCATGATGAGCAAACAGCACTGAATCCACTCTGCAGGGAAAAACATCAAATAAAAAAGTTTCATTGAAGGATTATATTAAAGGTTAATATTTCTGTTACCGTGTTCATAGAACTGTAGCGGATGTCTATGGTGTCTGAGAGATTGGATATTTCTGCTCCCATTTCAATTCCCAGGATTTCATTGTTGAAAATGCTGCTACTGGATCCATCCTTCTGAAAGTGGAATTCATTTTCAGATGAAATATTTCTATATTTAATTTTAAAAAAAACTCCCCTACCTGAGAAAGGTTTGGAAAAAGCAGAACCCCGGCGTATAATCCGTTTTTCTTTACTGCCATCTCAGTGGCTTCTTTGGGAATCTGTATCGTTCTGAAGAAACCTCCCACCTGGGTGGTTTGTTCTTCAAGAATCTGGAACAGACAGAGACAAAAAGAGAAGTTATTTCAGGCTTTTGTTTGTATGATTGGGTTGATGAAAGCTGCGCACGTTAACATCTCCAGTTCCTGCAAAGCCAAAGTTCAGGCTGGGTGGATTTAGCTGTGGCAGCTTAGCCACCACCCCTGTGATGTTTCCAATTTTGACGGCTGCTGTGCTGGAATTTCCCATCATTGTTAACACCGAACCGAGTTTCTTCATCACATTTCTGTAACAGAAACACAAATAATAACTTTCATTTTCACATTTTTCACATGAAAAAGCCTTCCTGAGTGATTTTACCATCCTTCCATAATTGCAATAAACATTTGTGATACTTACGTTGCTTCCTGGGGTTTCACAGGAGCGTCCATAGCATTCAGAGTCAAGGACACCTCCGGCTTTGAACCTGGTAACTTACAAAATACACATGTTTTTTTTCGACCGTCCAACTTGATCACATGGCTGAGATCTCCTGCGTTGGTCAATTCTGTTTAATCAGACACAACTTTATGAACACAATGTTTAGAGACGTATTCCAAAATTTTACATAAATGAACAAACTTACCTTTACAAGTCGTTTCATCGTAGGTTGTATTTTGTCCGCACAGCCCATCCTGGCTCAGTCTTATATTCCCTTCACCTTAAAATACAAAAACACATCAAACTTCTCTGTGTCATGTTGTGTGTCCCTTTGTTCCCCAGCTCCTCCAGTTCCCACTCCAGGTTCTCCTTTTGTGTTCTCTTAGCGCCCTCATGTGTCCTTTGTCTGCATCTCTGTTGTGTGTCTTAAGTTGTAGCCCCAGCCTCTTGTTCCCCAGTTCATTGTATGTGTGTATGAGTTTGTGTGTGTCACTATGTGTATGTGTTTGTGTGAGTCCTTCCCTTAGTCTTTAGGTTTAGTTTTGTGTTTTAAATAGTGTTAGGTTTATCTGCCCTCCACTGGTTCTCTTCCCCATCCAGATAATTGTTGTCACCTGCCTTCCCTCCAGCCTCACTCCACACACCTGCTTCCTGTTTCCCTAATTGCTCCTCCCTGTCTATATAAGCCCTCCTTGTCTCATTGTTCTTGTTGGCCCATTGTTATTTGTCAGCGTTGTTCTTTGGTGCTCTGTGAGCTTCCTGTCTAGTCCCCAGTTTGTGATCTAATTGAGCTTTGTTCTCCTGCTTTTGGATTTCTGGGTATGGGGCTCCATGCCTTTGGATTTATTTTTGTTCATCCTACAGTAAAAGGATTTTTTTTTTTTTACTTTATATCAACTCCTGCCTCATATCGTCTGGTGCTCTGCATATTGGGTCCTACTCCTCCTAATCAGAACGTGACACTCTGCTGCTAAATGAGCCGGTAATAGAGATGGTGAGTTTACCAGTTTTCAGGCAGTCTAGAAGGTGTAGGATGAGACCTGCAACAGAACAAAGATTCAAGAAGGAAACGTTAACAAGAGTCCACTTCCTTGGTCCAACAGAACATCTCAGCGTTACCCGTTGAGTTGTAGAACCGCGACGGTAAACAGGAGTTGGTAAAAGTTGCCTTCTGCAGTACTACGACGTCGTGCATGGATAGAGTCGTCTCGTTCAGCGTCAGGTGGTAGACGTTATCTCTGAGCAGCTCTATTTTGGCGTTGCAGTTGAAATTTTTGCTGCAACAGACTAAAACACAAACACTTAATAAATGACCAACAGTGATTGTTTTCCGTTGATTTCCAGGAAACAGACACAAAACCAGATATTAGATTTCATTACCAGTGTTCCTTGGCTCAGATGAGATGTTGAAACAAAGTTGAGTTTTGTTTTGGTCGTGATAGACAACATCTTGAAAAAAAGTCACATAGAATCATGAATTACTCTGGTTTTCATTTGTACTCCATTCCTCCTGTTAAAGGGGGGTTTTCTTCTCCACTGTCACTACATGCTTGCTTAGTATGGAGATTGCTGTCAGACAGAGGTGTCAAACTCCTGTCCTTGAGAGCTAGTATCCTGCATCTTTTTGTTGTTTCCCTGTTCCAGCTCAGTTGATTCACCTGTGCAGCAGGTCACAAAGTTCTCCAGAAGTCTGTCCATCACCTGCTGACTGAAATCAGGTTTGTTGAAACAAGGAAAACACTAAAACATGTGGGATAGCGGACCTCGAGGACCAGAGTTCTACACTTGTGCTGTTAAGCCTCTGACACAACAAGTCAGTGACTCGATGCAATCTGCTGGGCTTCCTTACATAGGAAACTTTTAATGGCATAATGACTTAAACTCAGTGATCAGCAAGCTCAACTGGAATATTTACTTTGTCACGTGCCTTGAGACGATTCTTGTGAACTGGCCCCATATAAATAAATTGAACCGAAGTATTTTTTCCACACTGTAGCCAAGATTACCTGATGGGAAAGTGGAGTTCAGTGGAGTTTGATTAGTAATGAACAGCATGTTTTTGAGCATGGGACTTCCGTTTGCATCTGCAACAGGTAAATACACGAGACAAACATCAGATCTAACAGCACCACTCTGTTCCCAGTAAGACTTTCCTACTCACCTGTCTCACACATATGATTCTGCAGTAAAATCCCAAAGAACAGAATTTCCACAACAAAAATCCAGTGATGGTTTCTTGCCAAAGGCGACATGATTCATTTGAATTTAGATGGTTTACATGAGAAATTTATTCCATCACGACTGAAGAATATAGATATTTTCACACTGCCACTTTGAAATGTGGCCGTGCACGGTGTCTGATGGAGACAATCCGCTTTGTCCACCTGAACAGCATCACACACGTTATGTAGTGTGACAGAAATTCTGTCTGCCTGACTTCATTTGCAAATCAAACGTGTCTGCAGCTCCCAGCACATTCAGTATTTTGTTTATAAAGCAGCTGGTATAGGGTTTTATTTCTGGTCATAATTTGAATGAACTGTTCCAGAGATGTCCAGTTTCAGTTATTTTTGTCCTGCTTATTTATTTCATTCCTAAACATTTAAACATGTGTCTTTCATAGGATTGCCTGTGTCTCTAGCAGGTATTCTCTGGCACGATGACTGCTGGTCTCCTCGGCCCCCACTCAGGACTCTGCAACGTAAATTACACCTTGATGCAAGTTTTACGGTTATCTGAATGTTTATGAAATACATTTTCTGACGTTAAACTTAAAGTGTCATTAGTAATCACACACGGGGGAAATTTCCTCTCCATGTTTTACCCATTCCTGTGGGAAGAGGTGCAGCTGTGGCTGCAACTGGAATGTATTTGTGGTTAAATTTATTCATAATTATATTATTGCTTAATATTATTATTTCAGACTGCAGGGACTGACCCAACAATTTGTAATTTTTGATGCTGGTGGTGGTCGGAGGGACCGGTGGCACCAGCGCTTGGCAGACTCGCCTCTGTCAGTGCGCCCCAGAGCAGCTGTGGCTACATCGGAGCTCATCCCCACCAGGGTGTGAATGTGTGTGTGAATGGGTGTTGTAAAGCACCTTGGGGGTTCCAGGAAGGTGCTATATCAAATACAGGCCATTTACCATGATCTTACAAAAAAAAAAACAGTCTAAATGACATCAAATGTCTTTTTAATTTGTAAGAAGCACCAATAAGAACTCAGTCAACGTTAATTTTATTAAATCCACCAGCTGTTTAGAATAAAGAATAAACATCGCAGTTTTGTTGGATGGAAACATAACTTTCTTTAAAAATAAAATAAACTATTTATAGACTTAACACAAAACCTCCGCAATGTTCAGTGAATTCCCTAAAAGTTCATAAATAAATACATAAATATATTTTAACATTTAAAAACTTGTATTTACAACAGAAAGCTTTTGAATACATTAGAGTCCATTTTAAGCTTTACTGAATGCAACGTTGTTCTCGTTTCCCAAAAGCTGAGCAATGCAAACTAAGATAGCAGCCACAGTTTGCATTATGGAACAGGTCGTGAAAGGCTGAACTCATAACAGCAACAGTTTTGCATTTGTGTGTCAAAATAACCCTGGGTGTCCCGAGGACATGAAACCCACATTTATTTCTGTTTATGCGAGCTGAGGTAACAAATACACTCAGTAAATACCTATAGGAGGTCTTAAGAAACAATATGATTAATAAAACGGCTTTATTAACATTTTCTTCTAAACTTGTATTGTTTATCAAACAGTGACAGTGGCTAGATCGTTTTGGGTTTCTGCCTGAGCCAAAGTGATTTATCTGTAAAGAACAGGCATATAATGGTTCTCTGTGACCGTGTGTTTGTTGCTGGTGGTGGTCTGTGAGTCTTTCTTGTCCTCTGGAGGGACCTTGCTGGAGTAGTAGTAAATAAACAGAAGAAAACCTATGCAGAAAGAGAGAATATTTTCTTTCTTCGATGACTTGTGAGGACACTTTGTCAGTTTCACCTTGAAAGGAGTTGAGGATGGTGAAGACGTAGAAAGGAGGGAATGAGCAGAGGTCCAAAACTAAAAAACGCAAAACCCCAGAAGATGCCAAGGAGGCAGAAAAGACCCAGAATGGACAAGAACTTCTTCTTGATGGGGCTGCTGTCCTGAACTTCTACAGCTGTGGACTCAGAGCGAACTATCTGCACCACATTCATACTAAAAATGGCAGAAGTGAATATGAACACAATGGCATAGAAACCAATGTTCAAACCTAAATGGATAGCAGAATCAGGGATCCAGCTCCTGGAAGTTATAAACAAAACATGAATTAAAAAGCATGATGTTGAATTGTAAATGATAAAAGAAAGCAGCCCCTCACATGTTTGCAGAAGATCCATCATCAACATGAATGACAATGTTACCGTATTTCTTTGGAGCAAGAAGAGGGACGATCACCACCGCTGGAGTGACTAACGAGACAGAAAACATTCATTTTCTTGCAGTCAGACAAACACATTGAAATGCTGGCTCTCTTACCCCATCCTGTGGTGTAAAGCCTGCACATGTAGCGTTTGATGTTAGCAGGGAATTTCCTCAACATGGTTCAGGATTGCTTTTAGAGAATCATTCTGATGATCAAGAGGCAAATAGAACAAGGCATTCATAGATAGTAAAGGATATAGAGCAAGTACATTTTGGCTTCTCAGAGGTGTTTAGACTTGTGTACCTGCTTGTTAAATAGTGGATTTCAAGGTACATGTTAAAGTGTTACAAGAGGAGATAAATGCATGAATTTAAAGTTCATGTTTGGAGAACAACCTTCACAGTTTGGAGGCTCACGCTGGTGAGGGGACACCATTAGTTCTAGTAACACCTGGGCTCCCACGGCCTATTCTGACAGGATGGACGTTACGGGACCCTTAAGGATTCCAGTTGGATGATTAGAGGATTATTTAGGAGGATTGGAATGAACAAACTGATTTCAGTGGTGAAGGGTTAAAGGTATTGGCTCGGCATTAAAATTGTAGAAATGCTAAATAACTACACTTTACCATCTATATAAACATGTACTGGGTCCAGTTTTTTATTTTGTTAAGGACTTTAGTCATGAATCATTACAGAAAATCCAAATCCTCTCCTCCAGACAGTGAAGAACTGTTTCGCGTACGTCACTCCAGCACGTAAAACAAGCTAGCTGCTGATGCTAGTATTGTGGATCACTGTTATTTTTTACTTTCATGCTTTTAATTATTACGTAAAATTGTGTTTACAGCTGCAGCAAAAGGTCTGAGCCATGTGTCTGTGTCCTACACGCATTTTTAAATAACAGGTCTGATCTAAAATAATAACCTACATCTATAAATCCATCTAGAACTGCACCGCTACTTCTGGACGAGTCCCGTTAGCATGACTGCAGCAATACTGCTAACCGTGTTCACTCCAGTAAGGAAAGAACAAGTCCTTTGGGAAAGCTACGGCTCACACACACACATACACACACACACACACACACACACACACACACACACACACAGATATAATCTAAAAGATTATCTCTATATTTCAACATTAGAACCTCCATGACATCCTGGATTAGTGCAAACAACGAGTTGAGCTAAGGAGTTACTCCAGCATCAGGAAGATTTATTCTGGTAAATTGTTGGTTAAATATTTTCCAGAGTTATATCAATAAATACACACAGCAGTAAAACTGTAGACTACTGAACTATATTGGGACACATGATAGAGCTAAGACCAGCTGAAAACTCGTCAGCTTAGAGCTCCCAGTGGAGCACAGAAATGAAATATTTAAGAAAAATAAACAAACTGTACCGATTTTGGTTCTGAAGATGAACAGAATCCTCCTCTATGTCCAAATCAGGTCACAGGTCTTCTGAGTCAAACGGTCTAAAACATGTCTGCACCTCTGGTAGTGATATCCAGCTGGCAGGGTCGGAGTTTGGTTGAACTTCTCCGGTAATCCAATATCCGTCCTCATCGCCGTATCCCAGAGAAAAAACAAATCTGACCGACTAGTGGAGGCTTCAGAAGCTACATCTGATTGATGACACATTGTTCTCTGCTATAACGCTAACGCAGAAACACCGGAGTCAGGTAATGTTTACTACAGCTGTTTCAGCAGAGCTCCATGTGAAACGTCACCAGCTGCCCAGGGCTTAGACCAGAAGTTAGTTTCTGGTTTTCCCGCACCGGTCACAAACATCAGATTTTCTTACAATTCCAGCCGTCAAAATCAAAAACCTTTTTCATCTGAGGTTTTAATACACATTTACAAATGCTGTTCAAACGAATTTTACCTCTGGCCGATATCTTTAAATGAGTGAGTGAACCCACTACCAAGGATGAACTCTGCTAACTTTAAAAATCAGCTGCTCTAAATAAGCATGAAGGTCAGAGAGGAGCTCTAGGATGAACATGGATAAAGGAACTGTAATGTAGAGGTAAAGTAGGGCCGGGCCAACGTTAGCAGCTGTCATACGGTCCATCTGAAATGTTGGACTTTCACTTAGCTTGTTATGTGCCAGGTTAGAGCACAGTCTCATGTTAGAGTTTTGTCATGAGAACATTGAGATACCTCACATACATCTAAAAATTAACTTTTTTTTCAAAATAAAGAATAATTTTAATCACAATTGAAACGTACAATCTTAGAAAAACCTTGTCCAATCAATGTGCACGTCCTCTGTTCTCACTGATTGGATAGAAATCCTTCCATCAAACCGTGTGTGTGTGCATGCACACACGAGTGTGTTGTGAACTGGTGTTGTGGTTTTGCACTGATGTAACCATCTTTATGCTGACAAAAATGTAACTAAGTAACTTTTACTTTAAGTACATTTTATTAACGATACTTTTTAATTTTACTTGAGTAAAAATTCAGGCAAGTACTTGGTACTTGGACCCTTACTAGAACCGCCCCTGATAACTGTGAATTAAATGTTCTTTCCTTTCAGGGTTCTCCACCATCCTTCTGTCCTAAGTCGAGGACCCAGGACCTGGAGGCGATTCTCTCCTCAATCTCAGAGGCTCAGAAATTTGTTGATGTTGCCATCATGGAGTATTTTCCCACCATATTCTTCGAAAAGCCCCAAAAGTGAGCCTCCTAAAATCAGTTTTCCTTTTATTGTGAACCGTTTTCTTTGATATCCCAGCTTTGGTTTTGATTCAGATACTGGCCGTTTATAGACGATGCAATCAGGACAGCTGTGTTTGAAAGGAAGGTTAAGGTCAGGATGCTCATCAGCTGTGGGCTGGACTCTAATCCAGCCATGTTGCCTTTCCTTCAGTCTCTGGCCTCATTGGACTACCCTCATCATCATATCCACATCCATATAGTAAGATGGCACATTGTCAGATTTAGTCCAGCTGCTTACTTAGAAATCATCTTTTCTTTTTTTTTTTTTTTTTCCAGAAACTCTTCATTGTCCCAGTGGGAAACCAGTCAGATATTCCATTTACCAGAATAAACCATAATAAGTACATGGTGACTGATAAAACTGCATACATTGGTGGGTTTGTTGTTTTCTTTTAGAAAGCAGCAGGTGTATTTTATTGTAGTAAATTATTGACCAGATGATGCTGTTTTGCTACTCAGGTACCTCTAACTGGGCGGGGGACTACTTTGTAACCACAGCTAGAGTTAGTCTGGTGGTTTCCCAGTCCAACGCTCACCTTGCATGGAGAACCGACGCCCTGCAGAGCCAGCTAAAGGAAGTATTCAACAGAGACTGGCACTCACAATTCGCCGTCCACCTGGATGATCTCGGACACAATCCGCATTGTGCATTATCACAATGAATAAATCATTAGTGAAAGTTTTTACTTTTGCATCTTCGCTAAGGCTGCATGTCTTAAATATGATTTTAACAAATGTTTTAGAAAAATGCTCTTCGGTCTGGTTAATCCATTCCTGATTTTCATTTCTAGTTGCAACAGTTTTTAAGATGAACATCTTGGGAATTTAGTAGAAAAAATGTTTGTGTGAATCCAGTTGGTTAAGGTTAGGGTTAGTGGAGCCACTAAAATGAATGGAAGTCAGTGGAGGGCCACACAAACAAATGTGTGTGTGTGTGTGTACGTGTGTGAGAGAGAGAGAGAATGAGCGAGTAATTCATCACATTTGTAAAACTTCAGTATTGTAATGGTGGCTAAAAGCCCCATACTGCCTTATGGGAAGAGTTCTCTGTGTAGAATTAAACAGGATGAGTCTGGCAGGCCAGGCTAACACACAACTATGAGGAGGATGCATTTTCTGTTGTAAATGACAAAAAAATGTAAAAGTTTAGTACTTTTCTAATCAAGTCCAATCGGTATAATCAAACACAGCTGGACTCTAATAGGGGCATCTCAAGGATAATGACAAGAAATGGATCGCACCTTTAAATATAGGAGAGTCACAGCAGAGGCCCAGTCTCAACACTCGCACTGCACCCTGCGGTTTTCAGCAACATGCACTTGGAGAAAGTGCGCAGTAGGGTTCGAGTGCGTAGTACACAAGTGTGCAAATAATTGCAGAATTGAGACAGGAAGCATTGCGTCATCGATTGCAACGCATGCCGTGATGCTGGTCGCTGTGAAACTTTTTTCAAAAACCTTTAGTAACAACTTTCAAACAAACAAAGCAATGAATGTTTCTGACAAAGCAGCAATGAAGTGAAATAAATTTCACTTCATTGCTGCTTTGTCAGAAACATTTAGAGTATCAACTAATCGTCCTAAAATTAATTGATTTCATTAGAAAATACATATTTCCAGAAAAGGAACGTGAGCCTTTTCTCCCGCAGCAATGACTTGTGGGTAATACCCTTGCCCGAGGTCCGCATCGCTGCGGACTTGGGTGAAGTGGTGCAAATTAAGGGTGCAGAGGAGGCATGGTCAACTTCCGCACTTGAGAATCGGGACACCCTACGCACTTGCACACCTCGCCTGGCCTGGCCTGTCAGACTCCTCCTGTTTAATTCTGCACTCTGTCCGGCAGGCCAGGCCCTTGCCGGGAACGCGCAAATGAAGGGCACGAGGCTCTAAGTATGAATATTGGGATTGAGCCAAAGGGTCTGAATGCTTTGGGCCATTTGATATTTCAGTATTTTTAACAAATCTGCATACATTTCTAAAATGCTGAGTTTTTCTGTCAGTATGTGCTGCTGTGTGTACATTAATAAGAAAATAAATAATTAATTTTAGCAAATGGCTGCAATGACAGTTAATGACATTGCAGTTTGTTTTTTCTATAAATTTTTGTTTTATTTTGCAGTTTGTTTGCAAAATCTAAACAAGAGGTAAGAATTTTTTTATTCACAGTTCACCTACTTTATAAGTCTAAATGCTTGTTTTTGTTTCTGTTTTTTTCCTTAGAAATGAACCTTATATCTGACTCCTAAAACAAAATTATCCTTGCAAAAAACCCACAATTCCAGAAATCATCAACAGTAATAAAACAACCAGCGTGACTTATCTGGAGAGTGTAGACGACTAAAATGAGACAATTCTGAAGAAATACAAACCATAAATGTGCGACAAAGGCCTCAACATAAAAAGATGTCTGCCTCCAAAGAGGTGCAACAATTATTCATGATGAGACATAAAATAAATTAAAACATTTGAAAATAGAAGACAATTATGATGCATGGCCTAAATTAGCAAATGCTGCATGCAGACTCGTAGGGAAACAATAAATAGTGATTATCTTTTTTAAACAGATGCACGCAGACATGCATGAATCAAAAACGTTGTCACTAAATAAACCCAACTTAGTTCAAAATAAGCTGAAATTTTTTCTAAATCACACAGAAACAATCGTTAAAGGATCAAAAATGACCTCAAATTGAGGAGCAATTATGCCTAAAAGCCACACAATACCCAGCTGGAGGCAGAATCAAACTGTGGCCTTGAATCAGAGTCTTTTCAAAACTGTCAGAGGCCTTTCAAGGACTTCTCTGGTTCTCAACGACGTCCCACGAATATAATCTTCTATTATAAAACACACGATTCACTACTTTTGTGTTTGCAAGGCTGAAACTCTGTGGAATAAAACTGAAGTTGAGGCATCATGTCTGCAGGTAATATCATTTTAAAACGTTAACCCTGAACTAAATCCAACATGTGGACTTGAGCTGACACGTCATTTTCATCAATAAGAGTCAGCTTTAAGAGCCTGCTTGCTGCAGGCTCAGATGATCTGAATCGTCTCTTAGCTATGGCTGCCAGGAGGAACTCCCCTAATGAAACTCAAGCCTGTTCAGATCCACTCTTTCATTGTCTGCAAATGTCACAAATTGCAAATTTTGCTTAATCTGTTAGCCAGTAAGTTATGTCAAATGTCATTAGAGCAAATGTGTTCAGTCAGAAGGTCTGCAAATTATTTATGGAGGCCAGGTAAAAAAAATATTCTTTAGGGTTTGATCATGGTTCAGTTTAAAGTGATTTATCGCCATCTTGTGGACCTTAAACCCCATTGCATTAAATTTGATACTGGAAGCCATGTGTGGTAATCTTTAACCATTTTATAGATAAGAAAAGTTTTTACCTGTAAATGTTTATTTTTGAGAAATGAAATGAATATTTGACTCCAAAAACAAAGAAAATACAAATTAAATCAGAAGAATTAGGATTTGTTTATAAATGAAACAGAAGAGCTTTGGGTAACAATGACTGACCGGCAACAGTCTGATTATTATATGACCACCTGTTGATGTGTCTGATTTAATAACTTATTAAAACTTTGATTTAGAAAATATTCATCATATAATTATTATTTAATTCAATAACTAGAAAATAATCTCAAATGTCTGGCAGCCTGTTAGAGCCACAGAAGAAGAGCATCCAGCTGCAACTCTGAGAAGTTAAAATAAAACTCTGACTTATTTTCAGATGAAAACACTGTTTTATGAAAACACAACTTGTGTGTGACCTCACTTGTAATTTCACAAACATGAAAACTCATCAGTGAACATTTACTAAAGAAGTTCATCCTCATTTTCTCCTACATTTTCCATTTTCCTTCTCTAGATCTTTTTCTTTCCCAAGATGATTCCTCATGATCATTCATGTAAATGAAAATAAAGATAACTGATGTCAGGTTGAATTGCACCGTGGATCTGGGAGAGTCTCCACCCCTGGCTTTACCGTCCGGACCGAACCGGACAGAGCCAGCATCCGGACCGCTTTAATAGAGCAGGTCTTCGCCATACTCTCCATTATTCATTCTCATGATATTCCCTCAGTGAGTCATCCTACCTGCTGATGCTGCTGGGTCTTGCTGCTGACTCCGGAAACAGCACGTTTCAGTGAAAAATGCCCGTCTTTGCACATTTAGTGGCGTCTGTTTCTACAGTGTTCCTCCTGAGTCCTGCTTCTCCCATCCGGAGTCTCCTGAGGTGTTCCGTCTGGAAGCGTCTGCAGAAAAAAGGCAGAGGCGGCCCGGGGACAGCGCGGTAGCGGCGTCTGATCAAAGCCATGACTGAACCCTAACCCCATCACAAAAAGAGAAGAAGACAAAAACGTACGAGTAGTAAACATTACGTTTTTGTTTTTGTACCTGACATGAGAGGCCCTTTCAGCAGGTAGGTTGTCTTAGGGATCAGCCCAGTGGCGTGATGACTGAGCACCGGTCCAAAACAAACAAACAAACAAACAAAAACAACACCAAGCCTTGCGGTCCAGACCCCGATTAGCCACTCCGGGCCTGTTTGAGGTTATCAGTAGTAAACTCTACATGTAACAGTTCAGTAAATAAATGTCTGACAAAGGGACTTGTTAACGGTCGTGATCCTGCGGGGAAAATCCGAATAATTAAAATAACAATAACTGACATTTTCATACCTGCTTATGTTGAATAAACAAATACACATTTTATTAACCTAAACAACCC